AAAAGGATGACTTCCACATATGTAAATTATTCTATGGCACAAATAAATACAGGTTAAAAAGCAGTATTTCCAGCAATGTTTGAATCTTGTTAGGGTTTGCTGTCACTGCAAATGTCTATTAAGGAATTTCATGCTTGTAAAGCAAATGCAACAAACCATTTATGACTGAATTTGACTAAGTCAGTTAATTGGTGCCTATAAAAAACAACCTTTACTGTATAAGGAAACTGTCAAAATGTCAAAATCTTTTTTTTCCCTTAACAAGCACCCCTTAAATAGAAGGAAGATTTTTATTTCTTTGCAATTTAGTTTTAGGTTATATTACACAATATATCATTGTGACTGACAGTAGTTAACATTTAGATATTGTTGACCTATGTGATGTGTCAGGTTTCAAAAGACTCCCAAAGAAAGAAAGAAAATACTCCTACATAGTCAATGAAACCCAAGTAATCAATCTGCCCTGTGGATAAATAAATATAGTATTAGCTAATGTTCTAAATTAACATGCATTAAATTTCCTGAGATGGTTGTCTGAAACATAAATCTTCCTGGTTGATAGACAATATTAATAACCTAATTTTTCAACCAACTGAAGTTATAAATCTTTCAATGGTTTACTTCAATTATATCCCATAGATGTAAATCCAGACATTTCACTATCTTTTAGGATCAAACCATCATAATTCCAGACACCACATACTTTCACATAGTATGGCTCGTGACCATAAGCACTAGCTAGGTCTCTTTATAATCTGTTTTCAAGGTATAAAGTTGCAGGCTGGGTATAAATAACATGAGATCATAGGTCTAGCATAGGTTTTTACATTCTCTGGCCTCTGTTCTTATCTCTGTGGTTCATGAATTAAAAATTCAAGTTTCCATGAAAACATTTATTTAAACATTTGCAGTTTCCTGTGTATAAATATCTTTTACAGAAACTCACATACACATAAAATCAGTAATCTTGAGATTTGGGACTACTATGGAATGTAAAATTTGACTGCACAACAGAGAAGGTAAAACACCAAGTCATATTAGGTCCATGAAGATCTTTCTGGAAATAATATTAACACTAAGACAATGTTTCTGCTATTGCAAGAAGAGCTATGCATGTGACAGAATAAAGAAAGAAGGAGAGATGATCAAGGGAAACACAAAAAGACCTCTAGGAAAACAGAAAATTCAAACACCAGTTAGATTACTGGATGCTGAAAGGAAAGAGGCCTAAGAACAGAAAAACCTCAGTGGGAAGGGAAGTCGTAGAACAAATAAAGAAGTCTTTCCATTTCATTATCTACAGCATTAAATACAGGTAACCTGCAAGTAAGTAAATCCTTCCCATTAAGAAACCAAAACAAACAAACCAAACAAAAAGAGCCACCACAAACAAAACCAAAAACCTCAAAGAAGTCAAACAGTACACAGATAATACTAATCCAACTTATGTGCTTTCCAAAAGAAAGAGAGGGCATCTGTTCCAGCCTGAGGGGAGGTTAGTGCACATTCACCAAGACTGCACTGGTAAGCAAAATTCAGAAGTGATCTAGAAAGGAGAGCAAGTTTTGACCATGTTTGCTCAGTACAGAAATATACAATGTTGTAAAAACAAGAGCTGGCAAAGATGAACTGACAGACAGGTCGTATAAAACCGAGTATCTACATAACAAGAAAGCCAAATTCAACACTGATAAGAGTACAGCGAGGTAGGCAGCGCAAAGTAAGCCTAAAATTTACAGAAAACGATGTGCTAACTAGCATTATTCAAAACTTGTAATTTATGGCAGATCATTCCATGAAAGTATCAGTTCCACACATGAAGTAGAATAACAGTTAAAAGCAGAATAATTAAGAAAGATAGAAAGAAACATAAAACATTACTATATAATCATAGGGTAATTCAGGCCAAAAGAGACCGATGGAAGTCTCTTGTCAAGCCTCCTGCCTGACCTCACAGGACGTCACCTGGGAGATCAGACCACGCTACTCAGGGCTTTTTTTCAGGCATCTTAAAAGCCTTCAAGGTTTGACAGACCCTGCAACAGCCTCTCTGGGCAACCTCCACTGCCTGCCAGTCCTCATGGAAAAACATGCCTTATATCCAGGCTGAATCTTTCTTATCTCAGTTACTCACGTTGCCTCTCATCCACACAATATGCACTGCTCTAAAACGCCTGGCTCCAGTTAATCGGAAACCTCTTTGATTCTCCATGACCTCTCAAACATGAGAGAGAGAGAGCTGCTCTCCTAGGACTTTTCCCCACTTTCTCTCAGCACCACTGGATGCAGCTCAGTGGGTCCTGGACTTATTACGGGTGAAGTTTCCTCGAGTAATCTCTGACTCAAATCCTTAACCCTTGATCAGAGTTCTCCCAACTATGCACAGTGGTCTTGGAGACTTCATTGGTGAAGACTAAGGCCAAGCAAGGCATTGAGTACCTCACCTGCTGTATTCAGCAGCAGAACCACGTTCTCCTTGTTTGGCTTTCTATGACCAGTGTACCATCAAGAACCTTTTCTTGTTACCCTAGACGTCCTTTGAGGCATCAACTCTAAGATAACTTCCACTTTCCTAACACCAATCCCTGCATGCCTGGACAGCATTTCCAATCTCCTCCTCAGTAGCCCATTTCTGCTTCCAGATCCAGCACACTGCCTGCTTGCACTGGGGCTTGGCCATGAGCTCCCTGAGAGCAGAATAGACCATTCTGGCAATCAGAGGATGCTTTCAGCCTTCCTGAGCAAATCTGCCCTTCCGAGGTGCCTGCTATGGAATCCCAGATACCAACTTACTGAAGAAGACAAAGTCTGCTCTCCTCAACTCCAGGGTCTCCTACTCCTTCCTTGCTCCCATCAGGATCTTGAACTCTACTAATTGATCATTGCAATCAAGAATACCCACATTACTACATCTCCAGTTTTCCCACAGCAGATTCAGCTGTGCATCACCCCTAGTTGGCCCACCGGTGCTCATGCCAAGAAGTTGTCCCTGACACTCTCCAGAAATCTGGTTTGCTTGTGTCCTGTTATGGTGGACCCAGGAAGGCTCAAGTATGCTTATTAAAGCTCCCCAGGGGAACTACAATAATCCATAGACTTCTTTGCCTCTAAAGAAGGCTTTGTCCACATCCTCATCCTGAGGAGGGGAGTCTGTAACAGACTAATCAAAGTGGCCCCTTTACCAGCCTCTCCTCTGAACCTGATCCACAAACTCTTATCTTAAACTGTCATCTTTGTCCCACACAAGTATCATATACATTTGAGCTACTCCTTCATGAGGAAAGAAACACTTTCCCTTGTTGTCCTTACTTGTCTTTCCTGAAGAGCCTTTATCTGTCCATCATACCACCTCAAATTCATAGTCCACTCACACCTTAAGAATTTTCCTGGTTCCCCAACCGAAACGCTACTAGAGCAGTAAAGATCCAGAGAACAGCAACAAACTGGATGAGAGGTTAGAACAGATTCTGTACAGGCTGCAATTCAGCAGCCAGCCTGGAAATAAAGTGACCACCAAGGTGTTAAAAGAGAGCAGGACAGCAGCCCACAGAACTGTAACAGCAATCAACTTCTAACCTCTCCACTAGGAGACATGGAGGCCACCAGACAAAGTTAGTGGGAACCAGGTTCAAAAAACAAACAAAACCATGGCAGTTCTTCATGCAACATGGAGCACAACTATGGAAATCCTACTCAAAGGACCCTGTGGGTGCAAGAAGTTGGCAAGGTTCAAGGAAGACGAGTACATACAAGAGAGGCCCACTGGGATTTTACTAAACAAATTGCAAAGAAACTCCTCCAAGGTGAAATTAGTTGGAGGTTCAGGAGTGTTTTACCAGAGCAGTATCATGCAAACTGTGCTCCTCTGTACATATCCATTTGTGGAAATTGCTAAGCAGAACACTGATCTAAATGGACTCAGCCTGAAGTACAACAGCCATCAGTATGAAAGCAACAGTATTAGTTTATCTAAAAGTGCATCAGCCTGACAGTAATTTGTTAAAAATGAGTATTAAATATTTTATTTGCTTCCTCTCAAAATGTCAGACTACGAAAAGTTACAATATGCCAAACTCACTTCTTGTACACTAAAAATAAATTTCCCCTTACTGTACTACAGTTTCACATACAGTTTTCTGTGCATTGGAATACTTTTCAGTAGAACTACAGATTATTTACAAAAACATATATAGATTTAGCAATCACTTCTAAAAAAAATCTCCTAAAAGACGGATTCATAAAGTTTACGTACATGAACTATTGATATAAGAACATTAGCTTTCACTAGACAAGTTGCAGTATCTGTACTTATTTCCCCATTTACCCTATCTTAAAAAACAAAAAAGCTAGCTTTTAATTAAGCTACATATACACAAAAACAGACGCACACATTGGCTGTACTAGGTAAAACAACCCAAACCAGACAACTGCAGCTCTATCAGACCTTCCCTTTCCTCTTTTTCAGGTTTCCTTCTTTATCAGTTGTTCCTTCTTTTACCCTACCCAGCTATCCATCCCCTTGCAGCTATTCTAGTAAGCACTCCATGATTGAGGGTGTCTCATTTCCTCCACCTACCTCCATTGTCAGCCACCCCCTTTCAGACATTTGCATGCGCTCCTTTTAATATAAAAAGTCGGATCCTCATCTGTAATCCAATTTTCACATGTTTTTAGGCATCCACAATTGTCACTGATGTCAGCATGAGCTGCAGACGCCCAGGATCTTCAGAGACTCAACTCCTTGTCTTCCACAACTTCTTAATGAGAAACATTTTGAAGCTTCACTTAGTTATGCTACCAGTACTTTCTACACTTCAATCAGACTTATGGATGAACACGTTAAGAGATGCAATAAATAAGTAATGCTCAAAAACATCTCATGCAGTGGCCTAAACTTCCCAGGAAAACAGATATTTTAAGTTATTCACATAAAACAAGCTAACTCACCTCACAACAGATACAATGAAGGGTACACACAGCTAATTGAAGGGGGTGCTTACCTGAATGACAGCACTAAACCAGCACGTGTTGCCAACATTCTTTAATCCTACTGGACAGTTGTCTTGCCGCTTCCGATCATAAGGGTTTGGAGAGTCACTCCATACCTCTGGATGAGTCCTCTTTAAACTTGCTTTATTTTCTGCAATACTGGCTTCTAGAACTCTTTGGGAACAGAAGGGAGGGAAAAATGTGAGAAAAAAGCAAAAACCAGCACAAACCCCAAAAAACCTACCATGTACTAAAATACCTTCAATTACTAATACAGACATGTTAATAACATCATTCACTTATTGTTGCTGAGCCTGGTTTTAAACTTATATACAATAATATGTCTTTAAATGTAAGATGCTATTTTACTTTTATCTATGTTACAGTAATTCCATTACCTTTTGCAAAATGATATCAGTGAGTGCATGAATCTCCTGTGAGAGCTCAAGATACAAGTGCCATGTCTGCAAGTCATCAATTATTTAAGAACCAGATTCCAACAGGATGGACAAATTTTAGGCAGCACTAATAGTGTAGTGCTTTCATCTACAAATGCTTTTATCGCTATGCAAAGCACAAAGTCACCAATCTTTCTTTTACTGACAGGAAGCCAAAGCTGGCTAGGCAACTTTCAAAAATGAAAGCAGTTTTCTTAGTTTCCATTTTTGCAACTTATGCAACTGTGTTAATCACTTTACATAGCAAGCAATTACTTTATGAGCCATGGAAAGACATCTCCCCCCCCATTTTTCAAAATGCCACCCAACAAGTTAACTGCATGCTTCAATGACCACACTCTTTGCAGGAAACTGTTCCTAAGTGATTTATGGGGAATATCCATATTTCACATGGCAGTAAGATCTGATGGGCGTGAAGCTCTTAAGCTTCACTCAACACAGTATTTCTATATCAGCACATATCCTTAGTGTGGTGACAAAGAACACCTTAAGAGTAATTTGTGGTAGGCATATTCTAAATAGAAAGATGGACATGGATATATTCAGGTCATGTAACAGTGGCTCTAACTCTCAAGCAGAGCTGGCTGGCATGTGCACTACTGACACAGTGGTCACTGTCCCCAACCATCCAGTCCAACTGTCATAAAAAAGGCTGAGCTGCTCTCCAGCTGCTGCATTTGCCAGGCACAGAATTCCAGGAGCTGCATGACAAGCATCTAAGCAGTCTGAGCAGTGTGAAGCATTGCACCCCTTCAGTTCTAGACCCAGTAAACACCAAAGAAAGGCAGGTTTAATCTGCTTTGTAAATGGAGCTCCTAAAGGACAACGTTTGAACAGTGCAGGGGAAAAAAAAAAGAAACAGGGACACACACAATGTAATCCCTCAGTTTCCTATCTACATTTCTCTTTCAAGCTATGTTCCTGTCAAAGAAAGAAAAGGTACGTTAGCAAGAACTACAAAGCATCATAAGAATTTACTGCAGGTAACTGCTCTGGGGGACGTACTAATTCTTATTGCTACTTATTTTGACATAAAATAGAATAAAAGAAGCATTCTGAATTTGAGAGACTGTTTAGTGCAAATATCACTTTTGTACCAATGTATCTCAGGAAAAACCTAAAACTGGTAATTTCCTAAGGATTAATCAATTTCTAACATTTAGTTTTTGACACATAACTTTGTTAACAGCACTGAAAGGACAGGCTTATAATCCTCCAAGACCTTCTGCTCTGACACCTCTTCAAACAATGCACAGGGATGGAACTCTTCAACAGTTGATGATTCTCAAAGTCGTTTACAATAATGTTATCTCATAAGCAAACCCCAAAATGTAAAAAACCGGTCAAATTTATTTCTTTTCTCACCAATACAATTCTCTAAAAGTTTTAGATGACCAGTGTATTTCTGCTTTGAGAGCAAAAGTTATTCAATGAGGACATTAACAATCAATCAAAAAAAAAAGTCATACATAGTTCAAATAATTTCCCATGCAGGTAGAACTACTAAAAATCTTGTTTAAAATAAATTGAAGGAACCTTTAAAACTGACAGGAAGATTGACAGACTGGAATAAATTTAGAATGATGTTGTAACAGGACTACAATACCTATTCCACACCACTTGTGTTTCAGGGAAACAGTCAAACTTCCTTCCCCATCCCCAACCTCAAGAGTATTTCAAGATATTTCAAGATTGTCAGAAAAATAAGTATTCTAAAACTGAAACAGTTTGCTCACCCCAAGGGTATTACCATTCATCAGCTTAATTACCTACTAAAATTTCTTCCTTGATTTTGTGTTTCTTTAGCAGGTAAAGGATTTCCTCTCTCTAGCTCCACCTCAAATCTGTTTCCATTTATCAAAAAAAGCATTTGATTCTCAAAGCTTCATGATATTTTTTCCTTAATTTTACTTTTAAGATTATCTATCCTCAGAGAGCACATGGAATAGCTGCACATTCATTTTCATTAAAGCTGTGATGCAATGAAATAAAAAGTAAAAAGTGAAATAAAGTGTAGCGAGCACAGTAAATAGGAACCTAATGATCAGCTCGGAAGCTACATAAATGAATGTATTTACCATAGTGAGTATCTCTTATACTATAATGTTCACTGTATTACATTCAAACAGGGAGACTACCTGGATAAGCAATCTTACTCACACATAGCTCTGAACAAAAATGACCATCCTTCCAGAGAGTTAGCACAAGGATTTAGCAATTCTGATGACAGAGCTGAACCCCCACTTTGGGACCCTTGGGGAGGACAGCAGCAGCCGCCAGCCCACAGCCATAAGCGACGTGCAGGGTTTGGCATCTCTCCGGCCTCACGGGACCCAGGGCTCCCCAGCCTCCGAGCGCTGGAATCTTGTTTGGAGGGAAACGCTGTAGCGAGGGCTCAGTTAATGCCAGGCTTGGCATTCGACTTGAAAGCAGTGTTTTATTTCTCTCTGTAACAAGCTGGGCATAGCCAAGCAGCTTTGCAGGGCTCACCAGACAAAGCAACAACCCTCGGGCAAACCGAGTCCATGGCACAAAGGTTCAGTCAGACCACTCTGAGGAATCCCACTCAACATGCTGCAGGAAACCCCACTCTGTTGGGCTACTCAGCTAAAAGAACAAGGAAAGGTCTTTGTACTGTGACTGTCCTACAGCTGGACATGCAGGAATACCCCTGACTCTACAACCCTCCTCAGTCTCACCTTGGATCTACACACAGAAACCACAGTGCAGAGTCCTCAGCAGTTTCAGTGACAGTGATTAAAAAAAAAAAAAGCCTACGGGCTGTGCACATCCTTGTGCACTGACAGCATGGGCTCTCATTTTTATGTGGATACTACCCCAGGCACAACACAGGCCAGCTAATTCCTCCTTTCAGCCCTATCTCCCTGGCTTCCCCAGTGAAGCCCTATCTGGCTGGCCTCAGACTCCTTCAAGCCACAAAAAGTGATATAAACAGGAGAAACTTTTTCATATTAGGAAACAGGCTGATCATGCTCATTTCCATGGGAGATTAGAGAGAAGAGTAAAAGACTTTAAACATGCCATGTACAAGATGTTCAGCTTGGACACTTGGACATTTCAGCTGCACTCCTCTCCTACCTACATAGTAATCAAATCTGTCCTCATTAAGTCGCACAAAGGAATTACATTCAGGAACACAAATTCTATGTGCATTACAACATTAATTACACAACTCAAGAAATTCCATTAATTGTCCCGTGGAAACCCTAACAAAATCTGTGCAAGTTAGGTTCCAAACCACTATGAATACCTTTGGAAAAAAAAATATCCTCCACACCAAAGGCTATTTAATTACGCACACGGCCTACATTTTTAAAAATGAAAGAATTCCATAGTTTAATTTGCTTATTATTGACTTCCTATTTGATTTCTCCTTCTTTTTTACTCTAGAAAATCAAAAGTAAATGGCTGCAGCTTGACTTGTTTACAACCACAGTGTTCTACTTTTTGTTTTGAGAAGTCCTGCGAAGATACTGTGCTTTCTATTGGAATGCCAACATTCTTCTGTGGGGTGTTAACTACAAAGTAATTTTTTTTAATTTTATTTATGAAAACAGACTGAAGTTCTGTCCTTAAGGAAACTGATTGAACAGTTCAGATCAAGAATTCAAGAATTCTGAACTTCCTGTATTTGTTCAACTCTGACATAATTTGCCGTCAACTCAAGGTGCTTCTTGCCATGTTACTGAGTTGATCTCAAGGCTGCCAAAACCTCCAAGATTCTCGCTCTTCTCTGCCTCCATTCACAAGAAAAGTCCCAACCCCTTTCTTATGTCATGATATACTCTGGGTCTTTGAGTGATTATTTTTGTAGGGCTTTGGGAAATGAATTTGTGCAACAGGTCCAAAGAATACTACAGCAAGCATAGAAAATGTGGTACAGTGCACCAAGGGGGGGATATGGCCTGCAACAAGCTCTTGATTTGGCAAATGTTATGGTGTGCAATTTTGCCTTTAAATACACAACGCTATTTCATCAAAAGACCAACATTTTCTCTGCATATAGTTGAACAGATTGTCTATATGCCTTTGTACATACAGAAAAAAATGGCATACTTTGTTATTTTCTGCAGCCAGAAAAATATACACTGTAATTTAAGTGGAAAGTATTTATAATACTAAGTTATGGCCTAAGCAGATAGGACCAAAAACCACAAAAGACTCTTTTAGTTTGAGAAGTGAAAAACAAATTCTTCAGGGGAAAAAAACCTAAATCTTCAAGGCTCCCAAGAAGGGAGCACAGCAGAAGCAGTCAAAGCTTGGGGAAAGAAAAAAGGGAGAAAATTGTCCATATACAGAAATAGGTCCATCTTTCTGAGTGCCTGCCTAAATCATAACTCTGTAATTATGACAATTCTGTCCTTCAAAAGGAACAGGCACAAGCTGAACTCTGAAACAGAGCTGGACAGAACTTCCACCGCAATCTCGTATACATGCACATATTGAGGTCTTAGAAAAAACCCCCACCCTTAAAAGCTTCTCCCAATTATTAATGAGAATATTAATTCCTCTCACCCTACCTTCCCCTGCTGAAATATATTATCTTAAATTTACATAACAAGATGGCTTTTATCACAGATGGGGGAAGGAAAGATATGTTTCCTCTCAGAATTAGTATATTCATTTTTGAAATGGAAAAAGAAAATTACTATGGATAAAGTAATATAAATAAAGTAATAAAATATCCATATTCTCAGAGTTGGAATTTTCAGATAGAGTGAACTGAGAAAAAGAATTATTGTGGTTAATCGCCCCATCTACATTATTTTTTTATAAAACTGGCCTTTTACGAGGAGGTGGTACTTTACCTCCTAACAAGGGTCAAACCATTGCCTGCTTCCCCTACAACAAGGCTAGCCACAAATGAAAAACTCAACATCTCTCCCAAAGCCAGTAACAGATGGAAAAAAAGACAAAAAGAAACAACATCCCTCCCACACAACCCTACACCCAAGCTTAGTTCAAGTCCCAAATATTTCATAATTATTCAAAAATTACCAAAAATATACACTGTACAAAAAGTTATCATAAAATCTGATCAAAAGTTCACTTATCACACCCAAGTTGAGAAAGTTTATAAAACTTTAAATCGAGAAGTTAACTTCACTCAAAGCTTATAAATCTTATTTGTTAAATAGGTTAATAACATCCTTAATCAGCTAAAATAGAGCAGCTGCTCTTAGTATACTCAACTCATAGTATTAATACCCCCTCCCTCAACCTCAGTCTTAGCACAGAGGTAAGTAAATGTTATTGTAAAAGGAACACTGCAAAAAACAGGACAAAGTATTTATTAGCTTCTTCATTAAATTTTGGGTTCATTGCTTTTTACCTGATACACAAGAGAAACTTCTGGGTTTAGGTCCTATTTAAATATGACCATATATTCTCTATCTCCATCCACTTCCTCAATATTTAAAAAAATACATTAATATGAAACATACTATTAAATCCTAGTCCACACATAATAGACTATTTTCAAGTGTAAAACATACAATACATTAAAGCAACATCCTGAAGCCAGGCATATCAGTAGCACAAGTGAAAGTAAACAAGTTATTCTTTGTTAAATTAAAAGTTAAAAAAAAGCAATACAGGCCAATCTCCAACTCTTTAATTTAATTTCTGCTTTATATAAGTTGGTTGTTTACCTGCTAATGGCTTGTTCCTCATCTGTTATTCCAGTCTCCCTGAATGCCCTGTTTGATTCCTCCAAACTCAAGGCAATTGCCCTCTGAAGATCATCTTTATCATCTCCAGTGAGATCAATCACATCTGAAAAGCAAAACTATCTTTCTCAAAATTAAAAGTGAAACAGAATGAAAGGTAAGTCTTACTGTAGAGGAGAGAGAGCCCACGTGGATTGCTGAGCACCATTCCAGTCCATCCCTCCTGGCCCTACACTCTTCCAACCACTAACCCTGCTAACAGCTCCCTTCTGCCTTCAAGCCAGATAAAAGCCTCACCAGCCTGCTCTTGCTAAGATATGAAGTCTCCCTTTCTCCTAATGTTCTTAAGTTTCACAAAGCTCTGGGACAAATTTAGGAATCCATGGTTTGTGAAAGACCTCTTGCAGCAATACACTTAAATGCATTACTTCAGCCACTGTAATCAGTTGTTTCAGGGAACACATGAAGAAGAGAACCTTCCTTAAAGAGAATACTGTAACTGGGCATAGATGTTTTTCCCTCCTCATGAAGGAACACATATAGAGTTTTCCCAACACAGCCCCAAATTCTACAAGTATTTCTGTGCCCTGGTGAGCCAAATACTTTCACATCGTTTCATAACATGTGGGAGAGTGCATTACTCAACCTAATTATTTTCTATCCTGTCTGTGCATTCCTTTTCTGAACATATTTAAATCCAATTCCTGTCTCCTGGAATTCTCCCATCTCAACACGAGAACTAAGAAAACAAATACTGAAGACAAAATGAGGATCCAAACTTGGATACCTGCAGAATGCTGGATGGGCTACTGCTGGGTAATGAAGATGAAAACAACCTTATTTCTGCCTTCTTCTCCAGTTCCTATTATCTAAGGAATCAAATACTAATGTCCTGCATAAATCTCCTTGTTTCCTGAGGGCAACCACAGCACTCCCACTCCCAAGTAAGGTGGGATTCCACAACACACAACAGCATAAGTCATCCCCCCATCAGGCACAGCCAACAGCGATGTCCATCAACTGCACAAGATCTTCAGAAAAGCCAAGGTTATCATGATTTCAAGGGGCAAAAGTCTCATTTTGCAAGTCAGCCAAACAGAAAGAGAGGGGAAGTGCAAAAGAGAGTTTTAAGTGCAATATTAGACAGGCATACACACAGAGCATTGGCTGATTTCAGTCTCCCTCCTCCAAGGCCAAAGTTTACCCAAAGAGTTAAGAAAGGGACTTGCCTCCAGCTTGAGGTTTGGCCTTTAGAAGCTGAAAGACTCTGGGAGAAAGAGATACAGCTTCAAAACTACCAGGTGTTCACAAAGAGGGATGAGAGGCTGGTCTGCATTTCTCTTTCCACAGGCCAACTCAATCGTACCCTAAGAGCTTCTCAGTCTAGCTTCTGACTTTCCTCCTGGATGGGCTGACTTACTGTAGAGACTGCAGCTTCCCTTGTTTCCCTGGGGTTCCTTTTTTTGTGATGTTTCTCACTGGATCAAAACAAAACACTGAACTTCGTATACAAAAATCACTGCCATAGTTGTGTATGAACTCAAAATGGGATGACCTGTCCTTGCAGGAAGCTGAAACCAAAAAGAAGTTGTAAAAGAAGCTTCTCTGTTAACACCAGCATCTTCAAAACCTAGTATGGAAAAACACTATGACCATAAAAGCAGCACATCCTAATTTTATTCTTATGTCTTCTACAATCAGCTCAGATGTTCCAGCATAAAAAAAAAGGATATTTCAACTCAAGATGCCCAAAATGCTCCTTCGGAAGTACTAAAGCAATTAGAACCACCACCAGAAGTCTCACCCAGAGAGGTTTTAATATATGAGCTGCCATGTTGAGAACAATGTAATTTGGGCTAAAATAACACCTCAACCTCGGTCACATATAAGCATGGCTCTGTTCTACAGCCTGAAAGCAGGAGAAAGGCTAGAAAGGTTGACAGCAATTGAGAGGATCCCCTCACCACATGCACTACCTATTATGGTCTGAAATGTAGTGTTTGCGTTGTATTTTCTACACATTTGCAAGGAGTCACACACAGAACCTCATCTCCCTTGAAGACATCTGTTTTTCTGAAAGTAGTAATAGTAGGCACAACTGAAGATGGAGTAAAGTCTCAACCCAGCAGCCACATGTGCTGATGGAGAAGCATGGATTACTCCCATCACTTCCTTACAGAGAAATATTCCTTTAGCTAGTCTCTATTCAGGTGAGAGTGATGAAATTTTTATACAACAATAAAGACAGTTAGATTAAGAAGTAAGATCTTTTATATGGGGAGTATTTTCTAGAAAAGAACTAATAACTTAGCTGAAACTTATGTGTTTAACAAAACCTCCCACTTTTATACAAAAATCTATCCAGATCAACTCCAACTCAGACTTCCATTGAAATATTCAACTTCTTTGCACCTCCTTAGCTCCTAATCTTTATTAATCTATACCACCACTCTATGTGTTCAGAATTTTATTGTCATTCATATTACCAGTGATTATATCATTTTAATATTAAAACCTCAAATTCTTGACTTCTGCTTGCTTTCAGAAAGCAGATGAACACAATGGTTTGTTTTGGCATGCAAGGGTTTTGGAGCAGGCAGTACAGGATTCTCCTTAAAAATGTTCTTTTCACATATACATTGCCCCTGATTTGCATGAAAAAAAGACAATACAGTGAAGACCTGCTGCCAGATATTACCACCACATGTGAGTGGTGCAATGGATTTATGCCACGGAAAGTTTATCCAGCATAATTTATGTTGAAAAAATATATTTCTAAATATCAGCTAATCCATGGTAACCTACTCCATGCAAGCTTTTAGTTCATAGCACGTGTAAAATCAAAATGTTTGGGAGATTTAAGCTAATGTATTTTAGCTCGTGTTTGCTGTAGTTGGAGGAGGTTCAAGGTCTTTTTCAGCATCTCAGCTGACACAGTAACTCATTAAGCTGAAACAGCTCATGTATGACTTGAATCCCAAATCATAGATTATAAAGAAGAGATCTCAATAGAAGTCATCACAGAAGGGTACCAGTCTGACACTAAACTCCTCTTTCTAAAAAACTAAAAATAAATATATATATATTACCTTGTCTGAATAGTTTCCATTCCTGTCAGATGGTTATAGATTATACAAGTGTGCATATACTGCATGAAATTAATGCAGGTGGGTTTTTTCTTGCTTTTGTTTTAAAATACCTTCATATTTTGTAAATTCTTACACTGGAATGTTTATTTTATAGCAATTAGTAGTAGAAATCATTCATGAAACTGAGCTACTTAAGTTTCCTATCTGACCAACAGATTTCTGTGTTCCACGTATGAGTTTGAAGAAAAAAAGATGACTTTTACCCAAAGTATTTATCAGACACACAAGCCTTCTGTGATAGGCTGAAGGATGCATTTCATAAAGATGTAAGAATAATGCCACTTGTCCAAATGTATAGTTACCTGGCTTTAGTTTACACATGCTGATTTTGTAATACTCCTCTCATTTAGGCCACAGAACATTTTAATTCTCACTGGCTCATCCTCATAAAGGTACTTCTCACCATATGTCACATAGCCTTAGAAAATGCAAACCTTCTTAACCAGGCCATGACTATTAAATAAACAAAAAAGTTTGCTTATGAAGAAATTCTCTATGAATGAAGAAACTGCTCATCAAAACAGTCTGTTCATGTTTATTCAGCTACAATTAACATGCATAATTAATCATTTGTTTTACTAGGAAATGTATTCTTGGTTTACAGCATTATTATATAACAATGTGTGCTTCTGGTGCATAAGATTCAGAGAGTTTGACATTGTTTGTAATTCTACAAAGCAATTTAAGTTGTATATTGAAATTTGTGACAAATATACTAGTGTATATATAATAAATGCACTCACTATATCATATTTCTTCCTTCTCTAAAATAACTTCTTATTAATCTGTTTACTTAGGAAGTTTCTATCATCATTTAAATAAATGGTTCTTATTTGGTTATTGCCTAGGTTATTAAAATAATTACTGTGTTATTGACTTGTTATTTATACGAGGAAGAAGCAGAGAGTAGGAGCTTCAGACTTAAGGAGTCTGGGAAACTCAGCATGAGGGACAGATCTGAAGTAGCAACTGGTCCCAGGGACAGTCAATAAACATCCACAGTGATGCAACAATTGGAACAGGGAGAGAAAAACAAAGGGGCAGCCCAATGGATAGGTGTCAAGTATGAAAATCCAGCAAGATTCCAATTTCAACACATCAACAATATAAAAAGAATAAAAAGGAAGTTAAGACTACACCCATTTTATTTATTACGAGCAGAGTTAAGCAGAGTTAAGTTCTACTATCCATTCTGAGATGTTAAACTCAAGATGGTCTTGGGCTTCTACGTGAAGATGTAAAGGAATTTAGGTGGCTGTATATGCCCATTTTGGTTAAAACTGGATGAGGGGAGAAAACACAGCATTGCAGCATCTACTCAGCCAAGTCAAACAGCTTTACTAATGCACGAGCCAGTAATGTTTGCCACCACTGTCTTACACTTTCCTCTTCTCAGCTGCATTTACAATGTCCTACAACGATAACACCTTAAACTGATGGCTCTCACATGGACAGTGATGGAAAAGAGACAAGTAATCATTGCACAAAGGAACGAGTGAATCTGTAAGATTAAAGGAGGACCTCAAGGTACAAGACTCCTGACATTTTGAAGCAGGGACCCTGCCATACCAAGCTAGAGACACTCCCAGGCACCTGGATGGAGATGACACAAATAATCCCCAAAATAGAAGGAAATGTCATGAAGACACAGAGTAATGGCTGAGTTAGGTAAGGTGACAGAAGAAGGCAGTGTCAAATTCCACTCACAGAAACAATGAACGCACAGCTGTAGAATGAGGACTGACTGGGACTTGTGCCAAGAAGGACCTAGGACCTACAGCCAATTCATGTTCAATCTGCAATTCACATCACAGCACAGAAGAAAATATGATGTGTTTCACTTTTGTCAGAGTACTATATGGATATTTATAGATTCACCCATTTTTCTTAAAAACCAAGCTGAGTGTTTTCAGAGCCACAGTTCAGAAAAAAGGCAGAACTATCAAAGAGAGCCTAGAAGAGAAGGAAAAAAATGACAATAGAGATAGGAAATGCATCCAAATACTCAGAAAGAATTTGGGCTGTTTAGATTAGGTCTGAGAAAAAACACTATCTTCGAGCATGCAACACTTCATCTGAGATAAAAGGAATGAAGTGTACTATAATTTCCACCGGGGACAGCACAAGGAGTAAAGGACTTAACCTGAAGCAAGAAGGATTTAGGCAAGACATTAGGAGTCTAAAAGTAAGGAAGTAAGCACCAAAACAAACTACCCCATAAACTTTTCAGAGTCTCTAGAATGGAATGGTTTGTAAGAAATATAATATAAACATCACTTTGGGAGATTTTAGGTGCAGTTAGGTCTAAAGTCTACCTTATTGTGAAGGGCTGACAGAACGACTTTTGAAATCCATCCAAAGGCTTAAACTCCAAGAACAGGAAGATACAAAAAGCCGGAGGCAATGAAGTCTACAATCCTCAAAATTGCTGTGTGTGGCATTTAATAGTTATATTGGACTATGACCTTATAAAAGGGCTTGAAATCTTTTGTTTTGGCTATGGAATGTGCAATTACAAAGACTAATAATTCCGTTTTAGTGAAAAATAACTTGGAGTTTTCAAAACAAGAGAAGAAGAGAATGTGTCTTGACAGCTGCTTCATTTGAAGACAGTACAACTTCTAAAATACATGTCTTCTCTTCATTCTGCTGCTTCCTTTAACCCTGAGTTCTGTAAGTTCCTCCAACAGGAGGAAAACTGACACATGCTTAGCAATGCAACAGTTCTGTTCTGCAGCCATAGATGAAATACACCAAAAAAAAAAAAGTTTCTAGAGAAATCAATAAAGTAAAAATATTGGAAAGCACTACTAAACTTCTACTGATTTGCTTTAACTGCAATGTCTAGGATTTACTCTACTAAATGGAACCTTCGAATGATCTTAGATTAAAAGGAATGCATCTCTCCATTGCGAGACTAATGCTTAAGCACCTTCTGCTCACTAACAGATTGCAGGAAGGGAAAAAAAATCCAAAATATTGAAACCACCTTTGCAAAGGATCAGATAAAGTATGCATCACTCTTGATGTGAAAAAATGGCACTTGCAGGTGCTTGCACATGCCATTTTGAACAGGCAAAAAGGCAAGCACCATGAGCAACACTGATTGTGCAAGTCAGTCTTTGCTTTAAAGACAGAGTAGATTTTATTCAAACTCGTTAATATTTTTGCAGCTGCTGAAATGTTGCATTTGCTAACAAGAGAAATCAGATTTTCTTATACTTCCTACCATACAGGATGGAATTCTCAATTAGTTCATGACCACTGTCAGTTTTGTAAGAGCCAGTACACAATCCAGGCTAATTGCTGGCTGCTAAGCTATACAGAAGCATTTTTATTTTACCCCTTAACTAAGAAACCATTTCAAAGAAATGCAGTCAGTCAAGCTTGCAGAACACATCTGATATACCTTTATGTGAGGAATACATTCAACAGGCTTTGCAAGTGATTGGCATAAAAGACAGATCTGATATTTATCTGTGACTCATTCCCAGTTTGGATGCTTTACCTTGGCCGGACAGCAAAGCTCAGTGACTCATGGCATCGTAAGTTCCAAAAGCACAGAGGTATTTAAGCAGTAAGGAACAGTAAGGGTTGAGTTATAATTAATTCATGTAATTACACCTATGTGGGATAATAAAGGGAGTCAAAACTGAAAGACAAGATACTGTCAGCAACTCAGCAGAGTCACTGAGAACTGCTAATAAGTGTTCTTTGCAGAAGTGAGTGTTGATGGTTGAAGCCATCGCTGCTGAATGTGTTTTCCATCTATGCCCACCCTCCCATTCTCTTCTCACAAGTCATCTGCTCTCTTTCAAGATACTCCCTTACATGACAACATGACAGTACTGTCTAACATGGCCCTGAAACTGGTTCATTTTAAGTGTACTGCATTTTTTAAATCCATAATCCAAATAATTACAGGCAAAGAGATTACAACAAAAGAACTGTAGGTTTCCTCCAGAAGCTTTCATTAGATCTCTACAGGGGCCTTGGGGGAGCTCTATGCTCACACTGGTTTAGGCTTTTGTTCTGCTGTAAGTGTTCAATTCTTGCTCTGTAAGTTCTCCAACATGAAGAAAAGTCATCTAAGGTGCCTTTATCTCATAACATGTTTTCACTCTAAAATGGCAAAGGCTGGCAAAGGGTTCTCATCTTTGTTGTCAGTGAGGACCTGACCAGACATTAAAGATGTTAAAAAAAAAAATAAAAAAAATCTACTTTCCTACAACAGTTGCAGCTTCTTGGCTACTGACTTGTAGTGGTGTGTAACTGTAAGGAATCTGGGTCTGCCTTCAGCCCTCCAGAAGAGAGAATCCTGAAATGCATCTTGCAATATATAACTCAAGACCTACTCTTCCCAGTTTGACTATCAGTCATGGGTAATGTAGACTCTGCAGGCTTGATTCATATCCCTTGTCACCTCATATCTTCAGTAAGGTTGCACAGCACAGTAAGTGACAGCAAAACTAAACAATTCTATTAATGGGATTGCTATTAAATCTAATTAAACACAGATTCCAAGAGAATCCAGCTTACTGTCCCACTGCCACAGTAGCTCTTGAGTACTACAGACTATGAAGCAGTGGTAAGTTTGTAGAAAATAGTCTCCATTTCCTCAATGGCAATTTTCTGCTATTGAAAATTAAATATATGGCACAGGGCTTGTGTGGGTTTTCTTTCCAAGCAAATGAAAAGAAAAAGAAAAATCATATGAAAAACCCCAAACCGCCCCCCACAACTTAGTACAGGGATAATACAACTACCTATAATGTACTCAGGGCATTTTATACGGGGTTGCTAGTAATACCAAGGATTACAAAGCAGTTTTCAGATCTGAGATGCTGAGAATAAACTCAACTCTAATTAAAAAAAAAAAAGTTAAAAAACTGTTAATGTCAAGGTTCTAGAGACAGAAAGACAATTGTACAATTGATAAGGAGATCTCGCTAAACTTTATGATGGTGCCACCATAGCCAGACCAATATTAGGGAAACAAAGATGTAAAAAAATCCTACCATTCTAAATAATTATACTCATTTAATAAAATCTATATAGATGTACTAAATACATGGTCAAAGTATCAATACAGAATTAAAATATTCTACATCCACATTTAGAATTGTGAAATGTAACTACAGTATTAGGAAACTTAAATTTTACAGAAATAAATCCCTCTACAAAACATTCTTTGCCTTTTTCTTTCATGTTATTTACCATATTAATTTGCAGAATACATTTAACAATTTTTCTCCCCATAAAAATAACTGTGCATTAAAGCAAAGAAATAGGACCTGCCAGGCTCAGAAAAATGCAGGTTGTGGCACCTCCTGTATCAACTAAACAAAACTGTTTAAAAATAGGTATATTTAATGTTTATTTCACATATAAAATACCTACTCTTTTATTTACAAAATTCACACTTAACCTCTCACTTCTCCCTTTTGGAAAGTCATCCCTATCAGGGAGAAGCTACTCTTAAGCATATTAAGCTTTAGCATATTAAGACAGACATTGACAGACTCTTCTACTATTTTATTTTAACGGAAGAGTACCCAGCTTTTGCCCTAAATTATTTACTGCATGACCCCAAAATAAATCTTATATGTGGGGGGAAAAAAAAGGGAAAAAATATGGAAAACCCAGTTATTCACCCTCAAATATTCAGTACCATACATATAGGTAAAGGTAATGCTTAAAGACAGCTCAAATTAAAAAAAACACCAAAAAACCCCCCACTAAAATAAGGAAAGAAATACATAATAACCTAAAAACTGATAAATAAGAATTATCAGCAGATTAACAGTCATTTCAGAGGCAAGGTTTTAGTTTCCTTGCATTTAAACTAAATTTATGAAAAGAAAAAATACCTACTGGTGTCTGCCTGGCTGCCCACACTGATGTATCTGTCATTTCCAGGAAGGGCTGTTTGGTAGTAAGTTGCCTCCTCTAGCTGGGGAACCTTGGCATTCTTCGCAGTGAGGAAAGCCACGGCCAACTCCAGATTACCATTGCTGTCCTTTAAGCATCAAGAAAGGAAGAAGTGAGAGTCCCCTCAACCTTTTTAAATTTTTCTTTAAACAAAGGACATCATAAGAAACTTCAAACCAATGACACGCTGTACTGGCAGGGAAAATACTGACTAGAAAAGACAGTTTCCAAACTTGACATGTTCTGCATATTTCACTGTTTTTAACCGAAATGAAGATAAAACATCATATAAAAATTTACTTTGTTAGAGTTCTACTTATTTCAGAACAAAAATTAAAGGTCTTGTAAGGTAGGTCAACCTCTCAACAAACATAACCAGCACAATGACAGACCAACACGAACCAGGTGAGTTCTGAAAATCTACCATATCCTTTTTAAACTGCTTTTGAAGAGCAGTTGTGCACACAACTTACACTCAATCTGAAGCAACAACTCTCTCTCTCTCTGTATATATGTATGTGATTTAAATTACTAAATCCTCATTTACCATGTATAAAGGGCTAAAAAGTTCTGCTTTAGGGAGATCGGGCATTTTTAAAATTTTAGATAGATATATAAATAGTGGGAAACAGAACAGAGAGACCTGCCATTCTTTACTTGCATCAAAAGAACTCTTCTGTGCTGTAAAAGAAATAGTGATGGTTGAAAAAACAGTGAGACAACACCAAATTAGCAAAGGGTGGTAATTTCAAGCAGAGTTCTTCACTCTACATACTGAGCTGGGCCTGTGAATGACAGAAAATAACTACACCTTGACAAGAAAACAACACTTAATTCTTCAGGAGGTGACCAGTTGTAGTAGCACCAATATATCTCAAAACACTTTAGACAAAGGTTAGAGGCAAGTCATAACATGTCTATCTTTTCATCTTTGGTCACCTGACTAATTATTATGTCAGTACCAAAAGAGATCAAGGTTCCTTCTAAAGTGAACAAGCCATCATTATTAGCTATTTCCCCCCCCCCCCCCCCGAATAAATTCAAGCTGGGAATGGAAATGAAGGAATAAGAGATAAGAGTAAGAAAGGGTGGAATTTATGGCTTTCATAAGCAGTTCAGAATTAAGATACATTCAGCTACAAGTCAGACACAGCCATCTTACCTTCAGTGCCTGCTGCAGTACCTGGATGTCATTGATACCGGTGATCTCCCTCAGCTGATTTAAAAATGTTTGCTGGTGCTAAAACAAAAACAGATCATCACAATAAGTTAAGAGCCCAATAACAGCAAAAATAACATTAAAAGTATCTCCATATGAGGTTTATGCACTAAAAAGGAGTAGAACCTTTGTTACACAAGTTTGTCTTAGTTTCTGCAACTTGGGCACTTTCGATTCCCAAATGTAAGAGTTTTGGTTGGTTGGTTTTGAGATTCAGTGGGGTTTTTTTTTAAACAGAAAAATGGATGATGGGTGAGCTTATGCAGCTCAGGTTTAATAAACCCATATAAAGCCACAGTTGGCCCTCCAAAACAAATAAAACTCCAAAGCTTGGTCTTTGGAGGCAATAGGGGGAGTAGATAACTGAACTCCAACCAAAACCAATTTCTTCAACTCCCATTTACTCTCAACCCCATTATTTCCTTAACATATAGAACTCTCAGCCATTCCAATCACAGAGCCAAGAAATTAATCTTTACTGATCACTGAGGTGTTCTAAGAGGAATACTACAAAAATGTCTATACTGAGTTTCTCAAGGCTGAAGCAGAACTTTACAAATCCATCTTAACCGCCTTCCTGCGCCAGTTGAATCCAGCTCTCCCAAATCACAACATCAGTCAGCATCTATGAATGAGTTCAAAGTAACATTCGGAATTGGAAAAGAATAAGAGGTTCTGGTTCTCTTAAATATTCACTCCATAAGAATTTTGAGGCTTGGTTTTGTTTTGCTTATTTAAATAAAAATCTGGTCCCACCCCTGTTTAGAGCCAAGAGATGATTCACTCTGCTCATGCTCTGGTATCACATCACAGAAGCAAAAAGCAAGGACTAGGCTGGAACAATCCTTGAACTCCTGTTAAACATTATAACCATCTTAACCATTAAAACCATGAAAACACAGAGGACTGACCATTGTTCCATACTAAAAAAATTCAATTGTTCCTTTGGCAGATGGGAAAAGGAGAAAAGCTTGTTGGTATTTGCAAGTGGTTTTTCTTTTTTTGTTCTTTGCCCACCACATCCTGAACTCAAAACAATAATTTCAACTATTAAAGAGAAGGTTTTTGTAAAGTACAGGGTTTTGTTTGTAAGACAAAAAGCGTATTTCCTATCGGGACAAATAAACATTCTCCTGCTACTCTCCAAATTCAATTTAAAATAACAACTATAATTGTCTTGAGGCTACTTCTAAAATACTTATCTTTAAAACGAATTATCTGGAATCAAATATTCAAATACCCTTATTCTCTCCTTATCACAGCTCTGTATAGAGAAGGAAATTAAGAGCTGCCTGAATGCTGAATTCCCCAGTGTGAAATGAACCTGGCAGGCACTACTTCATGCCCTAATAAGTTGAAATAGAAGGCGTATAGTTCAGGATGTTTATGAATTACATACACAATCTTCCCTTCATTTATGATCCTAAGGGACACTGCTAACAGTCCAATTTGCCTTTTTTTTTTTCTCTTTTCCTTTTAAAACCCCTGCTGTTGGCACAAGAAAAGTGAAGTGATGCAGGAAAACAAACTCCCACTCTATCCCCAACCCTCACCCCCTCGTTTGTTTACTCTGTGCATTTCACTGCACTGTACAAAGCCATGACTTGTTTCCCCTATGAAGTTGCTTTCCTGCCCCTGGGTTTGGCAAGAAGCAAAGAAAAAAAATGAGTATTTGGGAAAAATAATTACAACAGCATTAAAATTGGCAGGAGCAATTCAAGGGCATGGCAGTAAAGTGGATTTCTTTTTTTATTTGCCACCAATGTGATGGTTAACAAAACAGAAAATAGTTTCACTATAAATTATTATAACAACAAGTTATAACAGATTTCTGTATCTTCCACAGTATATACAACACTTGGAAAGGCTGACTGGGGGATATTCATTGTTCATACACACTGGGAAAAGACAGAAGAAACAGTTTACCAGCAAACAATCTCTTAGCAGTTCAAAATATTGGCTGTTAATTTATGAGCACAGCTGTGACTTATAAACCTAGACATCTGTAGTTTATATCCACATTTCAGTATTCCCGTGTCAAGCTGTGGTTCAAGGCCCCCTTCCCAAGGACATACACATTTAACAGATCAGAACCGGGCCCAGGGATGCTCCTTTCTCATCCAGAGATGATTTAAGCACCCAATTACACTTCTTTAGAGGCCAAGAGTTCAAGGCAATCAGCTCCAAAATTTCTAACTGGTAACTAAGTGATCAACATGGAGAATCCACAATCCTAGTTAAAAGTCACAGAAATTAAGAGAAAAATTAACAGTTATCCTGAATACCTCAAATGAAGATTAACAGCTTTGAGGCATTTGTCTGGTTTAGAAATAACTGTTTTTTCAGGTAAATGTGGACAAGTTGCTATTAATCTCTAATTGACTTATTTTAAAGGACACAGAAGTTGAAGAATGACGATGCACTTCCCTTTCTAGAAGGAGTATAATTTAAATTATTTCTACCTGACCAACATGTTCTCTTAACACCTGCTAACAGACTAACAGGGCTTCAGAAACAGTTGTGAAACTGCAGAAGGCAGCTAAAACTTCCTTCACACACCTTCCAACTGGTGGCCTTCTCTTCCACTGCATCACCTTTACTGTGTACAGACCTTTCTTGCAACTGGATGTTTAACTTGTCATTATTCTCCTTCCTTGTTATATTGACAATATGTTGTCACACATGAAGCTCTATTTTTTTCATTACAAATGACAGAACAGGCAACTATCAAACCCTTTCCTCAGTCACTACCAGGAGATGAGATTCAGTTTACTTTTTGCTTTTCTTTTCATTTAAGAAGTTTATGAAACACAACTGCACCCAAATTCAGAGAGCTTATATTACTTAATTCTTGATGTGACTTTAATTTAGTGCATCTGGACTACTCCACAAAAGTCAAAATGGTTAAAGTTTATTTGTTTTGAATAATATTCCTTTAACACAGGTTATTGTGGTATATATGAAATTTATTTTACTATTACCCACAACTGAATCATATAGACCCTCAAATGTCCCAAACCATTTACTTAGATACTCTAAACAATTACGACCCTAATTCACTCAAAAGCTTATAAAAATACCCAAAAGAGCTCACCCCACACTAAAACAAAGATAAAAAATGAAGAAGGCAGCAGACAAGTATTTACAAGTGTTTGAAGTATCTACACTAATGTATGCTAATTAAATCAGGCCAGTGAGAGAAGATTCAGACCACAACTAGCAGTTCTAACATAAATAAGCTGCTGTATTTTTTTAACACAGCTCTTTCCCAATTCCCTATTTTTTTCGACCTTGCATCAATAGAGGCTCAAATTATGAATTATAACTCACTGTACTTTAATTCAGTTTAATAAGCAATTTTTCTCTTCAAATGCAGATCCAAAAAGTTCATTCCAACAGAACCAGGTACAACTACTAGTACTAAGAAATCTACATCAATTCTTTCAAATTTTCCTGTAGCCACTTGTTTGCCATCTTTCCCTTAAATGTACATGGACAGATCCCATAGTTTTTCTACAGCAGAGATCCTCCAGTTTAGTGAGTCATGACTCCAGGTATATCTGCAGTGCTATGATATACATGAACACACACATACACACGTACTGCATGTAGCTTGAATAGCATTTGACTCGAATCTAAAAAGCCTCCAGGACTCGATCTACACCACCAGACTGTGCTGGTACAGCTGCTACAGGGTAACCCAAATCCTTGGCCAGACAAAGGAGATGGTTCACTGATGCTAAGGCTGCCCTGAGATCCAGCTGCTCACATCCCTCAGTCCCACCACATCACGGCAGCAGTCAGTTCCCTGGGGACTTCATGCACGAGCTATTCCCAGCCTTTCCCCTTCCTCTGGCTCCTCGAGGTATGCAGTATGTATCTTCAGGCTTTCAGCTCTTGGAAGATTTTAACTAACAGGAAATTCTCCCATTTTCCTGGATGGAAGCCAGATTTGTGTACTAGGAATGCATGTCCTTATTTCCAATTCTCTCCTTTTTCAGCCATCCCTCCCTTGCTCTCAGGAAATGCCCAATTAAGATTATCTGGTTTATAACCTCACACAATAGCATATTCAGTAGCTGTGCCAGTGTTAGTGAAGCAGAAAAGGATCTACACTACTATCTGCTTAGGGAGATACTGTGCCCAAATTAGTTCCACGACAGTACTGTAAACTCGGATAACTTCCCAAAATCAGAGCAAAAAGCTAAATTACACAAATGCTTTTTTTGGACAAGGCAAATCTCATAAATTGACTAATTCTGAATTATACTGCAGATAAATTTTGGGGAAAAATTAGCTACCTTTTGATCTGTTTATTTTCTCATCTCTCTAGCTCCTGAAGAAGAGCATGTAAGCTTTGGCTTTATTTATGTCAACATCCAAGTACTTGTATTTGCAACACAAGCACTTATAAACTTAGAAGATAAAACAATCCTCTTCAGTTTACAAGCACAGAAAAAGTTGTATGTTTTATAATGAATGAGACAGTCCAACCATTACCAGGAGAAAACCATTACCAGTAAGGGCCGTAGGTTCTCACTATGCAGTTCACATTTCAAGAGAATATAATGAAAATGTACTAGGGCCACCAAGTTGATTAGAGGGATGGAGCTCCTCTCCTATGAGCAAAGACTGAGAGAACTGGGGCTGTTCAGCCTGGAGAAGAGAAGGCTTTGGGGTGACCTAATTGCAGCCTTCCAGTACCTGAAGGGAGCCTACAGGAAAGAAGGAAAGAGACTATTTACAAGGGCCTGGAGTGACAGGACAAGGGGGAATGGCTCCAAACTGAACGAGGGCAGGTTTAAATTAGACATTATGAAAAAAATTTTCACTATGAGGGTGGTGAGTCCCTGGCACAGGTTGCCCAGAGAAGCTGTGGCTGCCCCATCCCTGGAAGTGCTTAAGGCCACGTTGGATGGGACTTGGAGCAACCTGATCTACTAGGGGGGTTGGAATGAGATGATCTTTAAGGTCCCTTCCAAACTCAGGACATTCTATGATTCTATGATTCTCAAGGGATG